AGCTCACTGCAAGCTCCGCCTCCCGGGTTCACGCCATTCTCCTGCCTCAGCCTTCTGGTAGCTGGGACTACAGGCACCTGCCACCATGCCCGGCTAATTTTTTGTATTTTTAGTAGAGATGGAGTTTCACTGTGTTGGCCAGGATGGTCTCGAACTCCTGACCTCGTGATCCGCCCGCCTCAGCCTCCCAAAGTGCTGGGATTATAGGCGTGAGCCACCGCGCCTGGCCTTAACTTTTAAAAGACTCTAAATACAGAAAAAGTAAGTTGTTTTCCATGACCACATAGCATACCAGCTGAGATGTGCTAAGTACGTACCACAGTTCAGAGGATGTGAGCTCTCCCGTTCACCTTTTTTGCTGATCACGGTAACATTTCTGTCATTCTGAGTTGGAGAATACATCCTTGAAATTCATCCCACCTGCTCTCCTTTCTGGACTGACTCACACCCAGTCCCTGCGACCCCCCAGGCCTGGGCTTCCTGTGGTCGGGGCTGGTCGCCGGGCAGGCAGCCCTCACACGCTCTGTCCTCCCAGGAGATGCAGCTGGACCCCCACAAGCTGGAGGTGGGCGCCAAGCTGGACCTGTTCGGCAGACCCCCCGCCCCGGGCGTGTTTGCTGGCTTCCACTACCCACAGGACCTGGCCCGGCCCCTCTTCCCCAGCACAGGTGAGAGGTGGAATCGGGGGCCGGGTGGGGGACACGGAAACCTCCTGCTCCTGCCCGGCCGAGCCTGCCTTCCTGTGCCAGGAGTGAGAACGTTCTCTGGACCTCAGTACCAGTTTTTGCTTTTTGATGCTCACCACTTACTCAGGTCAAAGCCTGGCAACTCCCTCACCTCACCTCTCCTCCCGACCAAGTCCTGCCCAGTGTGTCCTGGGGGGCCTTCAGCCCACGCACGCAGCTCTGAGGCGGCTGGTCCTGGCCACTCCTCCTCTCTGGGGCTCCCTGTTCTGGCCCCACCAGAGGCAAAGGAGTGGCAGGGACCCAGGCCCCCGCCAGGCTACCCCCTTCTGTCTCCCAGCGCCCGCTGTCCCAGGAGGAGTTTGGCCTCTCGCTGAACAGCAGGAAGCTGCTCCTGAGGCCGGGCTGGGCCCACACCCCAGTGCCCCTTCCTGATGTGCACGGCTGCTCCGGGGGTCCCAGGACCGGCCCAGCTGTGGTGGTTTCCTAGGGAGGGTCCCAGGACTTGGCCTGTATTGTTCTCAGTGGCACAGCCCAGGTTGGGGTCTGCCGGGAGCAGCGAGGATCTCCCTGCCCTTCGGAGTCACCTGCTCCCCCAAGTCACCCCCTCCCCTGAGTCACTTGCTCCCCCGGGTCACCCCCTCCCCTGGGTCACGCCCTCCTCCAAGTCACCCGCTCCCCAGGGTCACACCCTCCCCCGAGTCACCCGCTCCCCCAGGCCATGCCCTTCCCCGGGTCATCCCCTCCCCCAGGTCATCCCCTCCCCAAGTCACCCGCTCCCAAGTCACCCCCTCCCCCGGCAATGCAACGTGACCACATGCAAGTGTCCTCCAGGCACGCAGAGGCACCCAGGCTCTGGGGTGCTGGTCCATGGGCACCACTGCCTGGCACAAGTCCACATTCCAGGCCCCCGGGTGGAAAGTGGGCTTGAAGCTCAACCATAGTGTGGGATAGACACAGTCTGGGTGCCCAGAGGCCGGCTGAGGGCCAGCCGTGTGTACAGACCTTTCCAAAGATGGTGTCTCAGCCTGTGCAGTACACGCCTTTCTACACATACACAGTTACACACAGTTCCACATACACATCCATGCATGTGCACACACGTGAAGCATGCACATCCACATACAGCTGACCCTTGAACCACAGAGAGGCTGGGTCACTCCCCGCCACACAGTTGAAAATCCAGGTATAACTTTTGACTCCCCCAAAACTTAACTCAGCCTACGGTTGACAGGAATCCTTACGATGGCATGAACACTTGCTGAACGCCTGTTTTGTGTGTTACATGTATGATGGACTGTATTCTTACAGTAACATCCACTAGAGAAAAGAAAACCTTATGAGACAGATCATGGCCAGGCGTGGTGGGCGCCTGTGGTCCCAGCTACTCAGGAGGCTGAGGCAGGAGGGTTACTTGAGCCCAGGAGGTCAGGGTTGCAGTGAGCCATGATTGCGCCACTGCTCACCAGCCTGGGCAACAGAGCAAGACCCTGTCACCAAAAAAAAAAAAAAAAAAAAAATCATAGGGAAGAGTAAAGATATTTGCTATTCACTGCGTGGAAGTGGATCATCCTAAAGGTCTTCGTCCTTGTCCTCACGCTAAGTGGGGCTGAGGAGGAGGAGGGACTGGTCTTGCTGTCTCAGGTGGCAGGGGTGAAAGAAAATCTGTGTCTAAGTCGACCCGCACACTTCAAACCCGTATTGTTCAAGGGTCAGCTACATGCACACGCACAGGCATGTACACACACACGTACATGCACAGGCACACGTATACACACAGGCACACACACGCACAGGCACATGTACATGCACAGGCACATGTACATGCACAGGCGCACACATACGTGCATATGCACAGGCACACACGTACACGCACAGGCACACGTACATGCACAGGCACATGTATGCGCACAGGCACACGTACACGCACAGGCACACACGTGCATGCTCACGTACATGCACAGGCACACTTACATGCACAGGCACACGTACACGCACAGGCACATGTACACGCACAGGCACGTACATACACAGGTGCAGGCACACACGCACACAGGCGCAGGCACACACGCACACAGGCACATGCACAGGCACACACGTACACGTACACACACGCACAGGCAGGCACAGGCACACATGCGCACAGGCACACGTACATGCACAGGCACACACGTACACGCACAGGCACACACGTACATGCTCACGTACACGCAAGGCACACGTATGCGCACAGGCACACACGTATGTGCACAGGCACATGTACACGCACAGGCACACATGTACATACGCAGGCGCAGGCGCAGGCACACACGCACACAGGCACATGCACAGGCACACACGTACACGTACACACACGCACAGGCAGGCACAGGCACACACGTACGCGCACAGGCACATGTACATGCACAGGCACACATACGTGCACAGGCACACACAGGCACATGCACAGGCACACACATACACGTACACGCACAGGCACACGTACGTGCACAGGCACACGCACACAGGCACAGGCACACGTACGTGCACAGGCACACGCACACGCACACAGGCACATGCACAGGCACACACGTACACGTACACACACAGGCACACACATGGGCTCTGCGTTGCCCACTTGTCCTGCTGTTGGAACCAAGAACCCAGCCACCAGGTCCTTGAGGCCTGTCCCTTCCTCAGAGCTCCCAACCCCCGCTGCAGCCCCCCTCACTCTCTCCTCACCGTGCTCAGTCTCTTCCGTGTTCGTGACCATTTGATGCCACATTGCACGTGGACATGCGAGGGCAGAGCCCTGTCCACACAGGGGTGATGAGTGTGGCCAGCGGCCACCTGAGGCTGGCTTCACAAGCATGGTGGCCTCTGGGCCATGGAGCTTCCTGGTAGTCTGGGTTTCTCAGAAAGCAGAAGTCCAGGCTGCAGTTTCTGGCTGTCCGCAGCCTGGCTCAAGCCCCCAGGACACCTGCTCAGTGTGGCGCCCAGTTCTGGGCCCTCCACACTGCCCGCCCCACCGAACCTGCTCCTTCCCTGCCTCCCCTTCCCTCCTCTGGATACCTGGTGGCTGTCCCTCAATGCTCTGCCATTTGTCCTGCAAGACTGGGCCCCCTCCGTCCTTGGGGCCAGTGCTGCCTCCTCCTCCATCTCCTTGGCAGGTCTTGATATCTGGCTGGCAGGGGCAGGATGATTCCTTGTTGCTCTTTTTTCTCTTCCATATAAACTTTCAATCTGCCTGTTAGGTTCCGGCTTTCACTGGAATTGGGTTAAAGGTGTACATCAACCTAAGAGAAATTCATGCGTCGTCTCTGGTATCATTTTCCTATCCCTGATCATGGAGTATCTCATTCATTTAGGTCTTAGTAGAATTATTCATAGATGCTTTATATTTTACTAATATTATGATTGGAATTTATAAGTTACATTTCTTTAGCTGTTGCTAGAAAACAAGTGCATATCTGTTTTGAAGATTCGTGTGCCATCTCTTGATTTTGTAACTAGCAATCTTGCTAAATTTTTACGAATGCAAAGACATTTGTCTGTCAATTCCTTTACCTTTTCTGTGTAGAAAGTCGTATCTACGAGTGGATGGTTTTACATTTACAGAAATGTGGTTGATACATTTCTGGAGCCACTTTTTCAGTGCTTTGTTTCAGATGAGTTTCCCTGAGTAAGCCTGGCTTGTAGTTTCCCTTCCTGTACTGCATCTGTCAGGTTTTGTCATGAGGGCTGGTTGCCTTCTTCAGCGAGTTAAGGAGCTTTCCTTTTTTCTGTTGTCTGGAAGAGCTCTTGTGAGGTCCAGCCATCACTTCCTTCAAGGCTTGGCAGGCTCACACTCAGGTTCCAGGTACTGATTGTTTTCCCCCGTTGGGTGTGGTATTCCTCAAGCTCTTTCTTCTTGAATTGGTTTCAGTAACTCGAGTGTTTCTAGTAAGTTGATTTGGGGCAGGCTCCGTAGCTGTCCATCCGTCACACCTGAACTCCGCAGGCCCTGGTAATTCTTCATATTGCTTGGCTGTGCCATCTTCTCTTTTTTTCTTCATTAATCTCACCAGAAGTTCGTCCATTTCACCGGTATTTTATTTTATTTTTATTTATTTGTTTATTTATTTTGAGACGAAGTCTTGCTCTGTCACCAGGCTGGAGTGCAGTGGTGTGATCTTGGCTCACTGCAACCTCCACCTCCCCGGTTCAAGTGATTCTCCTGCCTCAGCCTCCCAAGTAGCTGGGATTACAGGCAAGCGACGCTACACCTGGCTCATTTTTGTATTTTTAGTAGAGACGGGGTTTTACCATGTTGGCCAAGCTAGTCTCAAACTCCTGACCTCAAGTGATCCTCCTGTCTCGGCCTCCCAAAGTGCTGGGATTACAGGCGTGAGCCCCTGCGCCTGACCAATTTCACCCATATTTTTAAAGGAGCAGCTTTGACCTTGTTGCCTTCTCTGTGTTTTCTTGTGTGTTGCTCACTTTTCTGGCCTCTTGCTTGATCTGGAGGTTGAGAATATTAATTCCTCAGCGTCTCACAGTGCGGGCATTTGAGGCAGTGTGCTTCCTTCCACCTCTTGCTGCACACACTTTGACAAGCTGTTTTCATGGCATGGGGCAGGCTGTCTTCCTCTCTAGTTTAGAGGAGTGGCATCAGCTTTCATGCCAGAGCTCAGTGGAGATCAGAAGCTCTGAACACAACCCACTGCGTCCTACATGGGAGGCGTGAGCACCCCGTCTTTGGGGTCCCCAGGATTAGGGCTGGGAGGGAGCTGGAGTAACCTAAAGATGACGCCCTGCTGGTCTTTACTAGAAACCTGCCCTCTGGACCCATGTGCAGGATGGCCCCTGGCCCAACAGCACTGAGTCCCCTGCAGCAGCCGCTTGCAGGGCCAGGGCCTCACATGGTTGCTCTCCCAGGTTGTTGGGGGGCCAGGGCTGATGTTGACATGGCGCTGTGGGCTGGGCCTGTGCCCAGGAATGCCACGAGGGGCTGCGACGTGCAGCCTCCAAGACAGCACCATGTCCATCCGGGCCTGAGGCCCAGCACCACATTAAGAAGTGAGGACCATTTATCAGCTCCCAGGTGAAAGCTCTGGGATAAGGGCTTCAGGAGTGGTCCAATCAAGGCACATGTTACTTGGACTTTGTCTCTGCCCAAGTTGCGGCCCCTTTGCTCTGAGGGCTGTACTGCACTCAGCACCTCCCTCGCTGCCCCGCTTGGGTTCCCAGGATGGCTGCCACTGCAGCCCCAAGTCAAACCTCCTCCGAATTGTGGGGTAAATTCCACCTCTTACTCTGACCGGACACACTTCACCCCTCAGGGCATGCAAGAGAATGGGAGGTGAAGGTTCACAGAGGAAACTGGGGTGCCCCCTGTGAACAGAGCTGCAGATGGGAGGCCCTGGTGCTCTCTCCTGGCCTCTGTCAAACCTGGCTGCCCCCCCCAGGTGCCGCCCATCCTGCCTCCAACCCATTTGGAGCCTCAGCCCATCCCGGCAGCTTCCTGCCCGCTGGCCCCCTGACAGGTGGGTGCTTCTGAATTTAGCCCACGCAGCCTGGCTGGTTCCTCAGCAGCCTTGGGGTGGGGGAAGTAGGTGGGCGAGAAGGTGGCCCCAAGCCCCAGGGAGCCCCTTGGGTCATGCAGGCAGCACCCACCAGGCTGGAAGCCTCTGCAGCAGCCCCACTGGGCCAGGTGGGAGCCGTAGCCCACACCTCACAGACCTCTGGGGCTTGCGGTTGCCCCCACAGACCCTTTCAGCAGACCGAGCACCTTTGGGGGCCTGGGGAGCCTGAGCAGCCACGCCTTTGGGGGCCTGGGCAGCCACGCACTGGGTGAGTGACCCAGCCTGTGCCCCCTCCCCCGATGCCTGCGCCCCTCCCCCATGCCTGTGTCCTCTGCAGGAACCCTGATGCCTGGCTGACCTCCCTCCTCTCTGGGCTGGGCCCCCTGGGGGCACCCCCTTTTCAATGTCAGCCTGGGACCCTCCTAAAACCCCTCCCGGGTTCTCCTGGGGTGTGGCTGGGGAGGGATAGACCCAACCTCACGCTCCATGGCCTCTGCCCCCAGCTCCTGGCGGCAGCATCTTTGCCCCGAAGGAGGGCTCCTCTGTGCACGGCCTGCCCAGCCCCCACGAGGCCTGGAACCGACTGCACCGGGCACCGCCCTCCTTCCCCGCTCCACCCCCGTGGCCCAAGTCCGTGGAGGTGGAGCGGGGGTCAGCCCTGACCAACCATGACCGAGAGCCGGACAATGGCAAGGAGGAGCAGGAACGGTGAGTGGCCCTCTTGTTCCCTATCCCCCCACCGTACCCCCCCAGTCCCCATTCTCTCTCTCTCTCCCCCTCCCCCTCTCTCCCTCCTCGCCGCACTGCTGCCCACTCATGCTCTGTCCAGCTCTGTGCTGAGCCCCGGGGTATGGGGACCAAAGTTCTGCTCCCCGGCGACTCCTCTCTGCAATGGGGAGTGAAGGCCGTGCCCTGGGGCTGAGAAGGGTGAGGAGGGTGAAGACCCACCCCCACCACAGGCACCCACACCTGCCATCAGGGAGACCTCCAGGTCGGCCTGACCCGCAGAGTTTGAGGGAGGAGTTCGGGGGTGCGGCTGCCGGCAGGCCCCCCGTCCTAACAGGGAGGGGCCCGTGGGGAGCTGAAGTCGCTGCTGGCGGCTCATCTGCTTCGTCTCTCGGCCGAGGTTTCCAGGCCGCCCAGCGCAGAGAGGACGCGTAGGTTTTGGGAGCCTGTGGGGGTGCGGGAGCCGTGGGTGCTGAGGGGTCACCGGCCACCCAGGAGCTGGAGGCCCCGCCAGGCAATGGGAGCAGCCTGGGC